CCCCCCCCCCGAGATTTCCCTTTCAGTAACATTTATTTCAAAGAATTTTAACATCAAGGACAATGTGGTACCCAGTTATTTGACTGAGGTAGGCCTCATGCACTGTTGCATATTAAGCAAAAGAGCAGGAACACTATTTTCCAAGTCCTAGATAGAACTGAATTTAAACAAACTCTAATAGTTAACCAATTTCAGAGCAAATGAGATGTTACACATTGAAGCTGTTGTTGATGATGGTGCACTGTTCGCGATTGGATCTCTCTCAGTGCTTGCAATTGCTTTTAATGCAGTCTTAGAAACATTTTCAAGAATCGCTTTACCTGGCCCTAGCAGAGGAAAGAGAAATGAAAAGAAAGTCTGCAACATCAGAACAAGTCTTTCTGGAATTGAGTTCACTCTGAAACGTGGCTACTACATTTAACAGAACAGGATGAGCTCAACTGTTGGTTTTTTTGTTTGTTTGTTTTTTCTTTATGCAAATTATTTCTGTCAGGTAATAAGGTAAACAGAGAGAAAATGCTGAGACTGCAGCACAGACTGCAATACTGTTAGTAAGCTCTGCCTACCATCTCTGAATGAGATGCAATCTCCTTTCCTTTTTGTATTGATGAAAGCTAAGAGATGTTTTTGTGTTTCAGACCAAACAGGGAGATCTACACAACTTAAAATATTCTTAAAATGTGCTTCACCTCTTGTCAACCTCAAGAACGTGGGTTTTTTTTTTGTTTGTTTTTTTTTGCAAATGTTCCCTTGGTTACTCAGTGACTACCAGAGGTGATCTATTCAGCATTAGTCAAGGCTGTAGGAAGAACCCTCCAAAAGTATTTCGCACTCTGCCATCAACTTCCTTATTGTCTACAAGTGAACCACTTCAGGCATGGCTGCAGTGTACAGTCAAGTACAGCATGGAGATTCCAAGCTGATACATTTGCAAGGCATTACTTAAGAAGGAACAGAAAATCATGAGATCTGAAAGCAATCTGGCCACATCTGACACCACTGTGCCAGATCTTGTAAGTTCATTCTTATATCATTACAGTTTATTTGTTCAGAGGCTGTGCTGAGATTGTTCTGTTTCTGAAGCAACTATGAACACTATTACCCCAAGGTATGTTTCACACTTCACTGCACAGTGCAGACATGTCAATAGTCTACCTCAGCCTTGAAATCCTACCTGTAATTCTACCTGTAAAGTAGGGACAATGATTTGACCTATAAAATATAACGATGTGGAAAGTAATGCATTTTGACAGTTTCCCTACAGTTCAGTATAGTGATGAGGGCCAGATGAATAATGCAGATGTTTGAGCATTGTTGCAAGACTGCAAAGAGTCCTTAAATTTGATTCCTCAGAGTCAGTGGATACTTTTGAAAACACCACTGACTTCGCCAAGTTCTAAGGTGATTGTAAGGCCAGTACTGATGTTAGGACCTGGAGGGCACTCAGAAACATTAACAGCCCTGAGCAGCCTCACTTGTGAAATTCTCCCTCCCCAATTCCTCCACAGCCAATAGGCTCAGGGGCTTCAGGCCTGGAAATTCAGTCCTTCTCTGATCTGTGCTGCAGAGATGCTGGTTCTCAGCATTAACAGCCTCACATCACAGCACTATCTCATGCAGACTTTGTTGGGACCGCTCAGATGAGGCAAGGTCTCATTCTTTTGCCATGCCTGAGGTTGTTGCATAGTCCTGACTCAGCCCCTTCAGGTGTGTGTGTGGCAGGGAACTCCTTGGCTGCTCCTCTCCCACTCCTCTTCATGGCTGCTAGCCTTTGTTGCTCCCTGACAACTAGAACTAGATTCAAGAAAGCCTGGCCCTCCTGCTTGACATTTTTATCAGAACACATCCTGCTCTCTTCAAACATCACGTGCAGCTACTGCAAGACTAGTCAGTTGGTTACTTCCACCCAGTTTCAACCAGTAGACTTATGCTGTTTCTCTGGACTCAGAATGGTTGAGAAACAAGGTGGCACCAATGACACTGAAAGGCAAGACACAGAAAGCTTCAGTCACCCAAGTCTTGTTGGCACTGAATTAGAAATTACAGTTATTCATGTTCTCAACGTTATAAAAAGCCAGAGTTTTTCCTTCATGCAGCTAGAAAGGTGAGGAAATTGATAGTCTGACCATGTGGTAAAGAAGACAGAAACAGCCTCCAGCCCTTGGGGAAATTAATTCTTGGAGACTGAAAACCTCAAATTACCCAAAGGAGAATATTGTTTAGCATTGTACTGTGAATCACCAACAGGTAACTCTACCCCTATATGTTTCTCTTAGATGCAATATATATCTCTTAATCGTTTTCTGTTTGTCATAAAACTACCAATGATAGCAGCTTGAAATCTCAGACTGTCTAAATTTTTTTGCATTGCTCTTCAGACTTCTTTAAAACAGTGTTTGATTTTCTTTGGACTCAATCTGCCTGAATTCCAAATCAATCAAGAGGTAATATTTTGTGTTCACGTATTTACTCTTTTAGTTACAGGCGGGGGAAGATGACTCCAGTGGGGAGTTGCAAAATTACATTTGTTTGCTAACTTTTTACCCATACCACAGATATGACTTCTCCTAGTGATTATTCCTCCTATTTTAGGAGAATCGCACCTGTCTGTGTGCACATAAATCTTAGCTAATTGGAAAATTTATGTCCAATGCAGATATTTGCATCTGTCTGCTTGTATAGAAACAGCTCCTTGACAGGTTCTACAAACTATCAGTCTGGGTCAAGTTAAACTGTAATAATTGCTTCACTGACTTTAAAGGGAACATACTCTGATGATGTTATTACTGCAGCAATTTGGTGTAAACCCATCACCATAAAATCCTGATTCCTACTGTTATATCTTTCTCTACATGTGCTCTCATCTGCTTTGTCACTAAAAATAGAATATTGCATTATAGCTTCTGCAAAGATAACTCTTAGCATCAAATATCTCTTTTTCTCCATCTGGTGTTTTAACTCAATTAAAAAATTAGAATGCGAGTGACTGATGTAGATATAATAATTAGACCTACTTTCCTCCTCTGAAAGGGCTCAGTTTGCAACAAAAGTGCATGCACTTTAAAAGTGTAATGAAGACATTAGCTAGATGACCCTTACTACATCTCTACATGGTAGCAATTTCTCTCTGCTTACTCATTTTTCCACAGTAAGAGAGATACTTAATTTTTGTCATCTCATGGCCTCGCACAAGATGAGGATAAGTGATATCTTTTGTGGAGTGGCATGTTTATGCCTTGTAGCTTTGTGCTTTTCATGCTAAAGTTAAAGGCCAACTTTCTAGGATGGGGTCAGTGGCACTAAGATACAAAGTTGACTCAGAGACATGTAATATTCACAATTCCAAGAGTTCTCCTTTGTTTCTGTATAGAGTTGTTTCTGCTGTATGTTGTTTCTCCTTTGGTATTCCCCTACTTTGGTTATCTCTGTACTTCTTAAGTTACAGATCCTGGATCCCTTTAAAATGGAAAAGCCCTAAGCAGTGTTCAGAAATGTTCTCTCTCATATTCTTTACTGGAATGGTCATTGTGAGATTGCTGCCTTTGAAGAAGAGTTAGGTAAGACATCCTTCAAATGAGGAGACAACTTACTGAAGATTTGTAAGGCATATGCAACTTTGAACATATATAAAATAAGGAAGACAATTGCTTTGGGAAGACAATTGAAAAAGTAAGCTGGTATACCTTTAGTCCTTCTCAGAGGAGAACTTCTAGCTTGGCTTTTAGTCTCCCCTGAAACAATCCACCCTAGGATATCAACACAAAGGAGAATGAAAAAGAAAAAAAAGCTTTCCTTGTTCCTTTAATAAGCTACGTGCAGAAAACTGAAATACTGCCAGGGATGTGATTCACACTAGAACATCCTTTCAGCCTTCTCTGCAATGCTCCAGTCCTTGTCAATGTCTGGTTTCTCTGTCAGACAGATTTAGTGCAGTGAACTTAAAAGTCCTGGTGAAGAGACTAGACATAAACCTTCCGGTTTGTTGCACAATGGAATTACTCTGTTGTAAACGAGCAATGAATAAATGTACAAAAGAAAAACATCACTTTTTGTGGGTTCATATACTATACAATAAAAATATATAGTTCCCCAGTTATAAAATCAATCAAAGTTTTTCAGCCATCCCATATTTTTTACATGCCTTCACAACTGTGAGCAGCTGCGTCTACATATGTTCCTTGATTTTATGCCCACATTACAATGGCATCAAAGCACTCCTAACTGTGCAGGCACATTTTTTATCCACCCCCAGCCTTCTGTTGCTGGGACAGTAAATGCATTTGATGGAAGAGGAACAGGGGCATAAGGATAGTGTAGAGTTTGCGATACAAAGACTCTAATAGAAGTTGGGAGGAATAAATCATATTTCCTACCAAACTATGGCACAGTATCCTGTATTTAGCATTCAGTCAAACGTGCTCAACTTGGCAGGTCTGTTTTATGAAAAGGCTTGTTTATCTTTCATGATGGAGTAAAATTTTATATAATTACTTTGGTACCAAGATCTTTTAAATTTATTTTTTATAAATGATGGCAACATTTCTCATAGGTGAAGTATAGAAGAATATATAGTAACTGATCCTATTTAATTTGTCAACATCAATCTTCTAAGAGAACAGGGCATATGCCATGCTGTACCTGAAGCAAGTTTCTGAAAAAGGGAGGCCTTAATTTAGGAAAATAATTGAGTATTCATCTAATGTATTATACAAAAGCCAGCTACAATTTTGATCCAGTTGTAATTTAATTCTTCACATGTTTTAAAATCTGTCATTTTTAGACTTTGGAGAAAATTCCCACATTAATACTTCTGGACAATTATAAGTACTAAACACAACTGGCTTTTCAGTCTGCATGATGAACTCCATTTGGAGTTGAAGGACTTTTCTGCTTGCATGCATGATGGCAAACTTCAGGCTTTGTCTAGTCTTCTTTTAAACAACCGATGTACTGAGGTTCTACAATCTCCTCCTGAAAATAGCCAGCCACAAACCAATAAACACCTTCGGTAGGAAATATTTCCCAAGTCCAGCCATAACCATAGCTCTCATTCATTGAGAAGGTGAAAGAAGAGAAGTTTGTGTATCTTTAAGCATCAGATAAGGAGAAAACTTTTTTGCACTCTTAAAGTTCTTGTGTATCTCTGCACAGAGGGGCAGAAGCAAGAAGTGTATATTCCACCAACGAATATGCTCAGCCCACAACATTACTTGTGTGCATACAAACATGTTCTTCAAGTCAAACAAACAGCTTTTAGCAAGCTTACCTAGATATAAAGGCAAATCATAGAATTATAGAATTGCTTCGTGCGGAAGAGTCCCCAAGAATCATCAAGTTCCAACATCCTTGCCACAGGCAGGGCCACCAATCTCCAGATCTGGTTCTAGACCAGTCTAGAATGAATTGGGGTAGCTTATGTCTCACTAGAAACAAGTTAGCACAGAGCACTGACTGTAATTGAGCTGCTGTAAGCCAAGAAATCCCAGCACGAGTCCATCATGTTGGTTCTCTGAAGGAGTATATTTTTGTCTCTCAACTGAATTCATCCACCCATTACAGAATCCATTTTTAAGGCATTAATGATGCATACACATTCAGATGTCTTTGCCAATCTTCACTGTGTGTTTATCATAAAAGGAGTTAGAAATAAAAGGAACTAAAGGCAGGAAAAGAAGTGGCAGTACAAGAATCCTATTTAAGTTACTGCTATCAAATCTCATCTCACAAGCTAAATAGTACAGTAATTAGGCAGTATTTACAATGCAATAAAGATAAAGCTAATTACTAGCAATGTGAACTAGATGAGGCTCTTTCTCAGGGAAAGTATTCAAGGATCAGCCCAGAGCAGTAAATCCTTCAACAACCTTATTTGTCAATTATCTTCATAATCTTATTTCTTATAATGATTATCTAATTTATTACTACCAAACAGGACAAATCAGGAGGTAAAACAACTAAGGCAGTCAAGTGAGCTGGAGTTTGTCAGCCAAACTGTATGCAGGATTCAGGTGAGCAAGAAGATGCCATGGCAGTTGATACCAGGGGCAGAAAATCTCAGAAGAAAAAGGCTGCTGTTTATGGGGCTGCATATTGGACAGGACTGTGAGTAGCATTAAAAATTCATGGCGTTCTTTTCCTCAGAAGGTCTACCTACTAAATATCATGGATTTTCCAGCCACATTTAAATATTTTAAAGGCTTTCAGAAGAGACTGATAAGCTAGATGATTCTACTAAGGTAACTGATAGAAACTAGCTTAAATATATAATCACTTGTTCTAAAATTAAACATGGAACATTGATTTTTAAAAGCCACGCCAATTAAAGTCAGAGTTTACAGGTTGTAACGTTATAACATGATGGAAAGTACAGCAATGATAGCAGGTGACAAAGCCTTTGGCTGAAGAAATGAGGACAAGGCCAAACACAGCAGCCATGGATGCAGAGACAGAGGAAAAAAATTTGCTTACCTTTGGAAGGCTTCAGGTATGCAGGAATCTCTGTCCAGCAAGACACCTTTGTCTCTACTGCCAACTCTTACATGAGGTCTGTGAAGGGGTAGATCCTGGCTTCACCTGTTCTAGTCACTCAGGTGTACTTCATGCACCTGAGCTCCCCTGGACTGGCCCTGCCTTCCCACCAGGTGCTCAATCACTGGTTCAGGCTGTGACTTAGCTTTTCTGCTATACAGGTGTTTCTGTGCTCTCTAGAGCAGCCTTTGGCTGTGAGCAAGGAATAATCTTGTGGTATGCTGATTTTTCTGGTATACTGGATTCTCAAAAGTAATTAAACAAGTTTCTTAATGATATCTTCTTAAATTAACCAGACACAGGTAAAATCAAAGATCATCACACAGTTAATTTGATTAAGTAGCAGAAAATAATGGGAAGGAATGGCCAGTGTTGCCAGTGGAAGGAGGTCAACCAATAAAGTCTTTGTCACGCCTTACATTCTTCAGCATGAATCTACCTTGAGAGAAGGCAAGTTCTGCTTCAGAAAGCTTTTGGCTCTGTATTGTGCAATACAGAGCTGCCTGACCCAAATCTAACTAAACTAAATTGTAGATAGAGAATATTACAGTCCCATACAAATGTTAGCTTCAATTCTGAAAGTAGTTTAAGTGCATTAATGTAGTACTGCAAGTAGACCAAGCAGTTCTGCTTTTCAACTGAATATTACTTGTCAAAGTGCATTGTGATAGCATTCTATATAGCTGTAGATGGTGGTCTCTGCTGGCCACAGAATTCCTGTACCAATTTCCTCTACAAGTGACTCAGACAGGACTTGGGAGAAGACAAGGCAAAGGAAACTTAAGACCCACAAATCTGAAGTTATATTTAAATCTCTGCAAAATTTTAAAATGAAAAAGGAAACATGGAGCAGGTTAGGAAAAGGACTAGAAAGTATCCAAGAAATACCTCTGATAACTAGGTTTTGATTCATAGACATCAATCTCCTGAGCAAACCATGGACCTTATCAGTAACTGCCCCTCCACCCCAGGCATGTGCTGTAGCTGTCAGTCACACACCTGAGGAAAGCTTGCTGGTAGCAAAAAAAAAAGCCTGCAAATGAGAGCTTGAGTGAGACCTACTGGCCAGAGATGGCAGTTGGCTAGTGCCTGAAGAAGAGGTAAGAATGGAAAAAGAAATTGAATTAAAATCATTTTTAGCAGTCTTGAAATGGAATGACTGAATCTTTTCCTGAGCTGTGAATACATACTGAGACAATAAAATATGTTTTCTAGGGATGATATAGCAGAAATGAATTACCAGCAGTGATGGCTATTTCATTTTTTCCCACTTTCTCAGCCCTGTAACATTATTACCCTTTTGCACTGTCAGATATTAAAATTATATTAATGATCAGGAACTCTATTAAACTGTCTGAAAATGAAATAATATGATAGCGCATTTGAAGGTTACAGACAGCCCTTGGGTGTAATTCACTAAGCTCTAATCTACCTGCTTGGTACTCTACCAGATGAAGCAGGAAGCTTTGTTTTTGGGACACATATTACTAGTAAGATATACGCTCCTCCACCCCCATATATACACCAAGCAATACTCTTAACAAGTTGACAACTGGAATAAGGCAGTCATCCAATAACAAACCAGCCTAACAGACAGTTTTCTTCACTGCATCATCACTGGCTTCCTTAGTATAGCTATGAGGAAAAGTACATTGCCCCTATTACAAGCAAAGACTCTCAGCAAGAATCAGAGATACAGCCCTTTGACACAGTCAAATATTTACAAGGAGTACTCTAGGTGACTCTGATTTCAGTGGTGACAGAATCCCTTGACAAAGGAATTCTTCTACCAGTGAGAACAAGACTAGCAGCCATTTCTCACTCTTCGTTCCATAGAAGATACTTCTTTGTCCCTTCTTAGGACATCTTATGCTTTTTATGCTTAATCTTTTCTAAAGCACAAGCGAAGCCTTAATCCAGAGTCAAAAGAAATTACTGCTCAAATCAGGCTCTCTTGGAAAGGCTGAACTGTGATAGGTGTGTCATAAATCATATAGAAAGGTGGGGCTCAAATCCTTTCTGAAATTTTATTATCTAATTTTGTCATCTCTGAAATGAAGAATGTTTTATCTGACAGGCAATAAAATGAAGGAAACCCTATAAAAGGGTGTTCATAATGTAACTGATTAAAGTGTTTTTCCAGAGTTCAAGTTTGTGTTAAAAGGGATAATTCATTTGGTATTTGGTTGGGAGGGCATAATAGAAGGAGAAAGTAGGGAAGGAAGAAAACTACTGTAATATTTGCTGAGAAATATCTTCAGATTTTCTGTGCTCCTACTTCTTCAATCAACAAAAACCTTCATTCTACTTTCAGACCCTTATTAGGTCTCAGTGTTGCACAAGATCACAATTCTCACAGATGATAACTGTAGATTAGCTTAGATAATTATGTGATGCTTTCAAAATAACAGTTAAAGTGACAGGAATACTCATTATCATCTTATTTTTATAATGGAGGTATAAATATTTGAAATCCTTTGCTCTGCAATGAAGTCAACCCCAGAGGAAGGACAGGATGCATGAGGTTTACTGCAGAGAGAAAGGGAACTACTGAGAGAAAAGAAACTTTAATATAAATTGTCAGGACTCTCCCTATAATGGATATATACATATATTGGCAAGAATGATTTCCATGCATGTTATGCTACATACAGTGCACTTATTTGATGTAAATAATCTAGACAAAAGAACATCAACTGTCAAGATTACTTCCAATTGATAAGTCAATGAATGTAACGTAGGAACATTTGAGAACAAAACTGAGAGTCTGGTACTTGAGTAAAATGACTTAGTGTATAATGTGATAATTCCTTGTGTGGAAAAATAACATTTTAATTTCGCTTTCCCTTGTTGTTCAGAGTGCCATTTGGAGATCTATTTATTCAGCTAAGGTATTCAGCTAATCAGACAAACTCTGCTATAGACAGTATTCAGGCTTCTCTGCATGTGTATTAATATTATTGGCAGTATTGGTACTATATTTTAATTCTATTTACTGGGAGTATTAGTACTATATTTTAATTCTGTATATTTTTCTGAGTGAAAGATGGCAGAAAAAAGCTTTTTCAGACTTAAGTGCTACTAGCATTTCCTATGATTGTCAAACCCATCAGTTTTATCAACAATCACTGCCAACTTCCCCAGTTCTCCAGTATAATAGGCTCACATTGGCTAGCAAAAGTGCAGAAAATTCCAGCAACATACTGTACAAAGTCCTTGATTATGATACAGTTGCTATGGTGAACTTTGCCACCCTCTAATCTAGTCTGTCTTTCCTTAAAAAAAAAAAAGAAAATGTGTTTCAATTTTCCCCCCCCCCCCCCCAAACAAACAAACAAACAAACCCAAAACTGCTTTTCACACCATGGGTTATTTCTGTAAATCTGGAGAAAATGTAAGACAGTTACATATCCTCTGCCAGTAAGAGATTTTAGAATTATGGAGGTGCTACACAGAGATATAGCTTAATATTGTAAAAAATTGCAATTTTTCACATTAATGGGGAAGCAGGCATTTCATTATATGCCATACATGGCAGTTAACCAATGGTAATGACATGGAAAGTTAATATCATAAGGGTCTCCATTGTTCTGTCCTCTCCAGAAAACTTTGAAATCTCTCTGAGATGGAATACAGTGCTTGACAGTTGTGAAATACATTTGCTATCAGTTGGTAACCTCACAGTACTTCTAAAAAATAATCATCCTTCTGAGTAAAGTTTGTATTTTCTAGTTCAAAATGACTGTTTAAAATCCAGATTCTTTAGAACAATTAGAATGGAAAAAACGTTATGGTGCTTTTCTCTTCCTTGAATATAATTGAACTAAATCCTGAACTAAATCCTGAACTAAATACTTCAGATTTTATTTGAGCCTTAATTAGGATAAACATCCACTAAATTCTGTGAGAGATTAAAAACAGTTCAGAAAATATTATCTAATTGCATCTGTACAGCCAATAGATAACCCATAACTATTTGTAATAGATGTAAGAGATATCAGCCTGCGTGTCTGATTTCTACTTCACCTGCTGTGGTAAGCCATGCATCAGCTAAATATGAAAATTATTATTAATATATTAAACAATTCATAGATATATACAAATAAAACACTCAAACTCATGAAGAAACCATTTGTATTACAGCAGCATTTGTATATTGGCTTTAGGGACAATTTGCCCATCTGGGAAGGGTGATAACAATTCACATCCTTAGGACAGGTGGAGAATTTTGGTAATCAGTCACCTTTGGATGAAAACCTGACACTGAGTGCATACTTCCTAGCGTGGATTAGAGTCTTGTGAGGGAGCTGCTTACACATCAGAGAGAGGTTTCATGCAACAGTGCGCAGATCTCAAGCACGTTAGTCTCACACTGCCACCAGCAAACCAACAGCCAGGAGGTTGGTGCAGTAACAGTGTGGTGCATGCAGGAAGAAAAAGCATCATATACTGAATCTGACCTTAACTAATAGCGATCTGCCATCTTTCTGAAAGAGACATATCTCTTCTGCCTTTGAGATGATGGTGCATTGCCATTTTCTGCAATGATCAGAATAATTGCACTGGCTAATGTATACTCTCCCAAAGTCTCTGGTACATTCAAGATTGTTTTTCCCTATCCAGAACAGTTAATGAACAGACAACACATAGCTGCTGCACTGCACCCTTCAGTAGCTGCTTTTCCACAGTTCAGCAATGATCCCTACTTACTCTTTACTTTCAACATACGTGACCATGCAACAGAGAAAAATTTGATCAGTGTCAGATGCCTGTTTTCCCTACGCCAAAAGTCTCAACAGTTTTTCCCACTTTCCCACATTTTTTTCAAATAATTTTGTTTTTACAAAATACTTTGTCTTACTGACATGAAATTAAAAAAAAAAAACAAAACACCAACTTAAAGCTCTTGTTCCTTTATTAGTCCACTTCAGAGACAGGATTGGGGCTCTGCTGCATAATTTGAGATTCAAT